TCATAAATATGCTATAAATTTTTTTATAATATTTCAAAATCTTGTATAAGCTTTTTGGTTTTTTGGTCTAACACATGCATAACATGACTAATACCTTCCGAAAACATACGTCTAAAATATTTAACAAACATTTTCATGGACCGATCATTGGTAAGTTATGAAAGAAGTCAATGAAGCTGTTCAGCTGTATCTGTTAGTGCCATTTTTGGTTTGGATGAGTTAGAATCATCACTTACTCTTTATCATTCCTATTCTTTTCGTTTTTACTATTTGCATACATAATTTGTCGAGTTTAAGTTCTTCTTCTTCACTAGATATTAAATTAATGTTCTTTAAACTCTTTGTTTTGTCTCGTCAAGAGATTTGTTATGGTCCTTTTTTTATTATTTATTATTAAAAAAAGTCATCAAAAAAATTATTGACTTTTAACACAAGTTTTTTTACCACTTGCTTGTTTTGATTATTCTCGTTAGCTTTTTGGTATTTTGGTCTTTTCACTAAGACTTTTGGTTGTGAGTAATGTTTAAGTTTAATTAATTTGACTCCTCTTTTAATAAATATGCTATAAATTTTTTTTATAATATTCTAAAATCTTCGATAATCTTAAATTAAAAAAAAATGTGAACATTCTTGAGATGCATATATGTATGTATGAAGATATTAGACATGATAGATATCGACCAGATGAGACGTAATTTATCATATCAACAATATGTTTTTGTGTTTGTTGATATCGATATATGAAATTGATTGATATATTGAAATGATGCATCGATACATTAAAATCACCATGCATATCAACATTTATAATAAATAAATTAATATGATCCATATCTAACGAAACGAACAAAATCTTTTAAAAAAACATGACTTTGAAAATAAAATAAATTAAAGAATAAAAACGGTAATAGGCAAATTTGAGAACAGGAACAAAGTATTCCACTAAGGGCAGCGGACAGTGGCTATAAATACAAATCCCATTTCGCTAAAACATATTCAACACAAAAGCGTAAGCTAAGCATTTACATATAACTAACCAAAGCATTCAACAAAATGTCTGATTCCCGTCCTCACAGTATGTTCTTCCTATCAGTTACTCAAATGTGTTCGATAGCTAACGATTTAGCTTATGAACGTTACTGTATAATGATTTAGTATCTTTATTTCAAATTTATAACAATTTATGTTTTTTTTAGTTTATTTTCAAATCCTCCTGATTTGAAACATTTATCCTTGGTTTGTTCATTTTTATTTTCAAGTTTTTAAAATTTATGTTTATTCCTACCAATTTTGAAATTTTATATATATGATTATATAACGATTTATTGAATTCTACATTTTGTTGGTAGAGTTATGTGTATTAGCAAATTTAACACGAATATATGTTTTAAATAGGAAAAAGTGAATGGCCTGAGCTCGTGGGAGTAAAATTTTCTGTTGCTGCTGAAATAATAGAAAGAGAGAATCCTTGTGTCAAAGCCCAAAAGATTCTAGCTTGTTGTTACGAAAAATCAGAGTTCGATCCTTCACGAGTTTGGGTTCGTGTCAATATTAATGATGTCGTTGTTTTCGTTCCTAAAGTTGGTTAAAAATTGCACACAAGTATAGTTGTGTAAGTTATATGTATCAACATAAATAATATGAAATTACTAATAAGGTAGTATGTAACTGCCACTTTAATTACTGAATTGTTCCAATGTTATCGCACTATTTTATGTTATTAATAATGCTTTTACTTTTTCATATTTTATTGGTTCAATAATATGCGGTGCATTGAATCTTTTGTTCGAGAATTTAGATTTTGTGTTAGTTCACTTATTGATTTCACTTTTATATCATTCTTAACATAAATATAATGGAGACGTGCATCAATTTCATACACATTCCTATGTGCTCCATTTTGGTACATACATAACTTACCAAACTCATATCAATTTCATAATCCTTCGATCTCATAATATCAAAAAAATTGTAAAAGAAAAAGTAAATAAGGACATATCTGTAACTTCCAGCCTAGGGTTTGAATTAGGATTCGGAATCCGGATTTAGCACCTTCTAATGGGGAGTTACAAATGGTATTAGAGCGATACCTCTCCCAGTAAAATGTGGTTCGAACATGAATCAAGACAGTAGCTGATGGGCATGTACACCCATGTAAACGAGGGACATATGAATTAATCGTGACCACATCTAAATGAGAGAGATCTTGAGGAAAGGATGACTAAGAAAAAATTAAAAGAAATGAAAGTTACTACTTGTACCAATAAGGTGTGCACAATCGTAGTAAATTCTATGTTGGGTGACCTCTTGAGAATTCTCGTAGAATGC